CMRGGGSMRRAMCMWWMCCYKGSTYCMRRRGKTTTYYYYTYYTTTATAGATGTTKTTTTAGTATTTATTGTATTTTTKTCTATGCTTTTTAAATTTAACGAGGTTAAATTYAAAAAGCAAAACAAAAGGACGATAAATACTGAAAAAACATCTATATAACTAAGAGAAAACCTCTGGAGCCASGGTAGCAGAACCAAGGAGATTCCTGATATTTTGTTATATGTTTTTCAAGAAATGTCTTTTTAAAGCGAAGCGTTTCATCTCTCAAAACCTCAACCTCAAAAAGAAAAGAAAAGAAAATTTAAATATTTGGATACGCTCCGAATATCCCTTCTCTCTTGCAGCGTTTCTATGGCGAAAAGTTCGGACAAGATAACTTCGAGGTCATCAAAGACTCAGACGCTGTCGAACGCGARAAACTGGACCCAAATAAAGCGTACGTGCAGCTTACGTACGTAGAGCCGTACTTTGATGAATATGAAATGAAAGACAGAATTACGTATTTCGACAAAAACTACAATCTACGTAAGTATATTAACTAATTTTATTCAACGCCCGACAAAACCAAAGTCATTTGCATATGTCATATTTAGAATTCTTTGCAAGAACATTCAACATAAAGATCAAAAAACGTCTTTAAAATGTCAATAACATTTAATAGGCCTTTTGCATGAAACGGTCACATGGTACAAAATCCGCCATACTAGATGGCAAAAACCCACTGGGATTTTCAAAACAAAGAAAAGTTAAGTTTGACGGGCTGCTTTCCTTTTGTTTTTGAAGTTGTTTACATTCTTTTGTCATCCAGTATGGCGGATTTTGTACCATGTGACCGTTTCATGCAAAAGGYCTWTTTGCTATTTATCTAAARTTTAGAATTGAAATTCTTGCTACGAATTTAAAACATTTTATGCAAATGAGTTTGTTGTGTATGGACTAGTCTTTCTATTGTGTTTCAGGTCGATTTATGTATGTGACACCATTCACTCCCAGTGGGAAAAAACGTGGTGATTTAGCTAACCAGTACAAGCGAAAGACGACGCTCACCGTAGCGAACTCGTTCCCTTACGTTAAAACAAGAATAAGTGTTATACATCGAGAGCAAGTAAGTGATTATCATCTTCCACTTGAACGATAGTCTGTCTGTCCATCGCATGTCTAAAGCATAGAGTACAAACACCAAAACTGTGGAACATAAATACCACTAAATAATGCTAAATAATGCTAATTATATTGTTTAATTAGCACTATTTTGTAGTAAATTGTGGAAAGTGTTGCACGCTTTTAGAGTGATCGCACTTAAACCGTGCAACTGTACAAAATCTAAGTAGTGCTATTATGTACTAAAAGTGGACCTGAAGCAAGACGGTATTGAATACTTCATTTGCACCAATTCAATTTAACTTGCGTACCGCATGCACGAT